TCCAAAAAGGATTTACTAGAAGCTATATCTCAAATCACTCTATTTAAAAGAGACAATAATAACTTTAATAAAATGCTAATAGAAGCTTTTAAGAAAGAAAGACAGAACAAAGTTAATAAATATAAAAACTCTAACTAAAACAAATAATCACAATAATAATGATTCTAATTTAAGAAATGTTAACTTTAACTCTAACTCAGATTCTAATAAATCAATAGACTCAAACTACTCAATTTATAATATTTTCTTGTATAAAAAAATTGCTTGATTAGAGTGAATCTCTAATTAGGGTTATATTAGTCTAGTCTGGTCCAGTTTTTAAGAGAACTGTTATTATAGTATTTATAGTCCAGTCCAATCTGGTCCTTCACTTTTATAATAGTCCTTAAATAATTACATTAATTTTAATGTATAAGATTTTATTAGCCAAAAATAATATAATTATTTATTGTTAGATATAAACAAATATTATATAATCTATATTATACTTAATCAAGAAATTTGATTAAATGATACAAATATCACAGTTATATTTACAAAAACTAGTCCTTGAACTAGTTCTTTAATAGTTCTAAAGTCTTTATCGATCCTGGTTCTAGACTAGTTTTTTTCAGAACTAATACAATTTTATCTCTAATTCTTTAAATAATTTAGCATCCATACCTTAAATAATCTCAGCTAAGGTAGATAACTACAATAATATGTATTTTGATAAAGAGAATTCTAAAGAAGAGATGCTAGATAAATTGGATAATAATGAATATAGTGAATATAGTAGATATAATAAATATGATAAATTTGATAGAAGTTATTATTATGATTTAAGTAGCAAAAAAAAACTTTTAAAAATTTCGATTATTTAATTAGTATATATTAATACACAATACAAAAATTCTAATAGCTGCTATAAATTATAAATTAATAAACTTAACTGTTTCTACTAATTAATAATTGCAAATTATATTGTAAAAAATATATAAAAATAAAAAATAGCAAGACCACAAAACTTTTTCTTCTTTATTTTATAAAAAAATTGTTAAAATAGTATATAAATAAAAAAATTTTTTTAACTTTGATCTACAATATTCTATGCAATATTACAAAGTAAATAACTTTCATCATTTTAATATCATTATATATAAGTTTAGATTTTTGTTTTTTTTTATTTGAGAAATATATTGTATTTTACAAATAGTAATATCAAATCTTTATAAATAATATCTTGAGTAACTTAAGTAATAGTAAAACTGTTATATATAATTTTTTTTCTAGTAAGTTGTGGCAGAAACCCTAATTATAGATCATCAAAACACTTGCTATATATACTCTTTTTTTGGCAAGATCTACTTAAGAAAAGTTCTTGTGTTTTTGAAATAATTATATTAATAAACTAGTAGGTCTATTATAATTATAAATCATATTCATATTTATAAATATACAGATATTCAATTTGATTAGTTAAAAAAATATAAACAAGTAAACAATATACATAATACAGATTATTATATAAATTTAAATTTAGCCAAACACTTGCTCTTCTAATTATTAATATTATTATACAGTAGCAATATTTAATACTATAATAATTAGCAACTAGATATAGTATAATAACTAATAACTAAACTAGTAGTTAGTTTCAGGTCAAGTAGTATGGTGATTAGTTTTAGAACTATATATACTATAAAAATAAAGTTTCAAAAATAGTCTATTTCATCTTTACTAAAGCAAATTAAAGTTTTTTATAAAAAAAAGCAAATTTAATGATAAAAAAAAAAATAAAAAAAAAGCAAATTTAATTTATATAATTATATTCTTTTTAATTTTATCTATTTAAAAAAAGTATTAAAAAATTTCATCTTTTAAGTAAAAGTAAGTCAAAACAATTTTATCTTCAAATTTTAATTTTGGGTTTTAAAGCCCAAAATAATTTTATTCTTATCTATATTTAGAACAAGTAAGTATTTAAGACAAGTAGCACAATAATTAGTTAAAACAAGTAGTATAGTAATTATATCCAGCTTTATAATGGCTATCTTCTCATTGCGCAATATCTTTGGCCTCTAACCCTTTCATTGCACTTTTCTTATCATAGCCTTGCTTTCTAAAGTGAGATAATTACAAGAAATATTTCTGAGATTTGGGTAGACTGAAATGTTTTACAAACTTTTTATTGCAAAGATTATTCCAAATCTTATTGTCTATATCTTTATCATAAATATTTTGTATATAAAAACATTTAAATGCTATAGTATCTGGGATAGAGCACTCTTGATCAAATTTAAGATTTTCAGCTTTTTCAGAATCGAGATTCTGGAAAGTAGCAACTGCATCAAAATCTGTTTCTTTGATAACTAGTGCTTTAACCCTAACCTCATTGCAAACTTTTTTACGATTTCCTATAACTCCTTGGCTCTCATCTATTTTTATTAGTTGGAGAGAAGCACCAGTATTGGCTATAAGACTGCAAAGCTTCTCAATAAAATATCTTGCAAAAAGATGTTTCTGATGCTCTACTTTAATAAATATTGTTATAGCTAGAGATTTATCAATTTTATAAGAAATAGTATTGTTATCTCATTTATGATGACCTTTATTGCTATACGTAAGTTATTAGGCCAAGCACTAGCAAGTTTTGCCTGAATATTTTCATGATCTGGTGGGCAGAAGAGCTTATTAGAATTTTTCTGATAGAATAAAGAGATAACATAGTGAGGACAATCATGAATTTGGTAAAGCATTTGTACAAGAGCTTCAATATGAACTGAAGTAGCAATATTTGTAATAGCTATAACTATATTGAAGTAACCTGTAACCTCAAATGATATTTCTGCTTTCACTATATTTGTATAAGCTATACAGTCAAGCTCACTCCAAGCAACATTAATATCAGAAAAGTCTTTTTGTCTCTGTTTTCTATCCATATTCCCATAATATATATGGGCTCTAACAAGTGAATTATTAGGCTTAGTCAACTTAAATGCTTTTTCTACTAATGCTCTAGCCATCACTACTCCAGTAGATACAAATACCACATATTTGCCCTGCCTCAAAAGATTATATCCTATTTGCATGGCTTCAGCTTTGCTATTTGGATCATAAATAAATTCAACTATCATGTCTATACAAGGCTAGTATCCATTATCAACTATATAAATGTCTTTACTACGATATGCTTTAAAGAATGCTAATATTGATTTATTCGCAAAGGCATCCATGGCCAAAACATGTCTTGCAAATCTTAAGACATCATGCATTGCATTTTCAGATTCCTGTGCATTTGTACTGCTAGATATTTGGCACATAATAGCATTAGCTTTATCGAGAATAGCTACAAATGGATAGGCTGTGAATTTGATACGAAAAAGGCTTTCAACCTGTACTATGATAATATCCCACTTATTTATAGATAAGTTTTCTTGCATATTTTGGTAGTTGCAAATTCAGAAGCCAGATACTTTTAACTCATTAAGTTTGAACTTTGACTCATTGCTAAGAAACTTTCAGTAAGAGATCCAGATATAGCATAGTAAAGAAGAAATATCATATACTTTATCTTTCAATGCTATAATAATCTCTCTTAATGCAGTAGTTTTCTATATTCCCAGAGGAGAATGAATAAGCATTGTCATTTTCTTAGTACTCAAGAAATTGGGATATGCTTCAAAAGCATCTTTTAATTTTTCTATATTAATAACCATCTCTAATAATTCTACAAGGAGGCATGGATTTGATATAGTATCAGCTATTCTTTTGACTATTCCTTACTTAGGTTTTGCCAAAATTTTAATTACTTTTCCAAATACTAATCCTTTATGATTGAGTTTGTACTGTTTTTGCCAGTAGTATTTAAGTATGAAATATCTATTACTTCAAAGAAATATATATAACTGATTCTTTTTATATTTGATTTTGCAAATAAGACATGCTTCATATGACTTCGCTTGAAAGTTAACGAATTTCTTCTTAATGCTATCAACCTCAAGCCATCTATATTTTGTGGTAACCAAACTAGCTCCCATGCTTAAGGCAGTTTTATCTTCGATAGGCTGGAATTTCTCCTCTCTCTCTGGCTTCTTAAAAGAAAAGATTTAAGGCCAGATTTCAGAAGAATCAGATTTAGGTTGAACTAAATAATCCTCTAGCTTGCAGTACCCTTTCTTAACTGAAAAAATAGCAGGTCTTTTAACCCTATCTTCCTTTGCCGACCCAAGAAGATGAAGGCTGAACTGAGATTTATAAAGATCTATGTCAATGAATTTTGAATATGGTTTTCCAACTCTTTCAGCAACTTTTTCTACAAATCCTCTAAGATCTCTGTAGTCAACAAAACATGCATAATTGTATACAATATACCAACTGCACTTATTAGCATTAGATAAACTAGCTAAGGTAAAAGCATTTAAAGGTATGAGATGTTTTAAATTAAAGTATATAATATCAGCACAGACAATTAAGATTCTAGATAATAAATCTTTATGAGAAATTTTATATCCATTTAAGGAAGGGTGTTTGGAATTCATGGGATTAGGTTTTTGTCTCATGTCGATGTCCAGAACAAGGCAAAGAGGCAAATTCCTGTCAATGTATTCATAAGCATCAGGTAACCTATAAACTTCAGATAGATGATTTACTACCGTGAATCTCTTATCTGCAACTCGAATAATATATTTATTAAAAATTTTCTTAGAATAATAGACATCTAGAAGAGCAATATTATCTTTACTATTAAACAGATATTGAAAGTATATATAATTATTATAACTAGGCTCAAAATCAAGGTCTGCTAAACCAGAGAAGAGCCTAATTGCTTTATTTATTTTGCTAGAGTCAGGCCCAGGCTTTTTTTTGCATAAGAAGCATGGTAAATATACAAGAAACTAGTATAAAATAACAAAGAAACATGCAAAGTTCAAATAAAAAATCTATATAATTGTCAGTATAGTATTGGATCAGTGGTAGTACTCCAAAGTAATTAATATAATAATGCCTAAAAGCAATCAATGCAAAGATACTCTGAAGTAGTAAATATGCAAGAACAAGAGCTAGAAGGCAAAAACAAGCAAGTTTATGGTAACCCACTCAAGCAGAATTATATATAAGAAAGAAAAAAGAAATTTTACTTGAGTAGCCTACCACCGATAGGCAGGAAAAAGGTCAGGAAGGCAAAAAGCTTTAGGAAAATACACGAAAAAAAAGGTATAAAAGCAATATAGCCTAAACCAGTTTGATACTCTGCATGTGCCTCACTTAGCAATTAAAAAGAACATACAATGCAAGC